GTGCTCTTTCTAGGCAAATCAGTTTCAACTTCGTCATGCAAGTGAGTACCGAACCAGTGTATAGCTCACACTGCGCATTCCTATTCAGCTGTACTTCTTCACTTCATTCGGAAGCAAACTCGAGCGCTCGGATCGATTTAGCGCCATGCCGGGCGACTATGCGTAAGGCAAGGGTGTTCGTTTTCGCTTACCAGGGTGCTCCAGGTACTTCTCGGTTGTTGTGACCTTTCTCATAGCAGTTTTGTCCGTATTCCTCAACTACCCATCTGGCATGCCACTGTTGGGCTCGTCGTTCATCTTTGCTATTATCTACTACTGGTCAAGGTGATGACGATTAGCGTGAAGTGTGGTAAAGAATACTTTCCTGTACAGGATCGAGCCTAATGCACAGCTGTCTTTCTTCGGATTCGTCATCCAGGGGTATCAGTTCCCCTTTGCCCTCATGGTCTTCACCATGCTCATGGGAGGGTGAGTGTCATCTCGATTGGTCAATACTATAATACGTTTCATCAGGGATATTTGGATGGACGTGCTTGGTCTGGGAGCTGCTCACATTTACTACTTCCTCCGAGATGTGGTGCCAATGGAGTACGGCAAGGAGTACCTCAAAACGCCCGAGTTCATGTAGGATGCTGATTGTTGATGGCCTCTCCTCGAGCCAGATTCTCATAGGAACAAGTTGATGGTCCGAGCAGGAGCTGGTCAGCCAGGAGCCGCAGCCAACTATCAACGGTCAGCAGGGGACGAGGCATGTCAATGAAGGGAATTACCGTTGGCTCTTATGCACTCTTACGTCGAACCGTGTATAAAGTTTTATAGTCAATCGGAAAACTCCTCTTTTTTTGCGAAGTCAATTCGTGTTAAAGAAGTTGTGGTATTTCAGACAAGCTCAGATGCGACAGCAGAGAGATATGCGATTTCAGGGTGAGGGTCATCGTCTGGGATAAAGGGCCTAGCCTGCCACATTTTCATCACATACTACTGTTCAACTAACACACACTGTTTCGCGTTTAAGTTGTTATCAGTATATCTCGAAGGGTCCTCCTGTTAGCAAACTATGAGTAGGTGAGTGTAGCATCTGAATACTATCTCGATTGCTCTGTCACGCGCTGTTATAACCCGTCAATGGTCTACAAAGGATTATAGTAGAAATGATAATCAATAATTATCAGTATAGTTACTACTAGTACTTCTATTTACTTACTATAACTCGGTTAAGTATAATCCCGGTATAATCATTAGAACGAGCCATATTTACTGAGTTCATCTTTGTCTGGTCAGCGAGTTCCTTCGATGCTCTACAGGGATTGGGTGGCGATGCGGGCTGTCAGCCTTGCCAACGCTAGTCTGCATCGAACCGTGCTCTTCCTAGGTTTGTAGGCGCAAATATCTTCAATATTCTGGGTCCTCAGGTTATAGCGATCTACCTAGGAAGCCAAGACGATGCACTGCTCATAGTATCTGGAGGAGGTTGTTGACAGCTCAAGAGGCTCATGCTAGTCTATGCTTTTCAACATCATAACAACATTCTCGACAAAACTAATCCAGACAGGCTTTTTCATGTTCGACGATGCCTTCGAGATTAGTCTGAGGCGAAGGCGGAGTCAAGCGTGCGATTCTTCCCAAACGGCAACTCAATCCTGAGGCTTCGTGTCTTGGTCATTCGTGTAGCTGGCCAGCGTCATCGCGTTGATGACAGGGAGTTTTTGAAATTCATACTTACTACTACTCTCGCTATCATCCACGTATCATCATCTGGCCAAGCGGGTATTGCCTGCCGATCACTGGTAAAGTCTTCGCTGTTTTGTGCTACCATCGTAAGTGCACCTATCTGTCCTGCGTTGACCCCCATGGCTACTTTGAGTGAGCATTGTGAACTCACTGCCAGAAATAGTTGTGCGCATCTAAATGCAGTCTGCCAATGCACAAGTAGCTAAATCGGTATGCCTTCGTATGGAGATCCATTTTGATGGCACCCGAGACGATTGGTCGCGACCAGGGGTGAGAGACCACCCATCAACGTACG